CTCGGCCAGCGCGGAGGCCGAGAGACCGATGAGGCGCTACGGGGCAGTGGAGGAGACGGAGTGGAAGGCGGAGGCGCTGGGGAGAAGTGAGTGGGGGGCGCGGGTGCGGGGCCGGCTGGCCGGGGCGGCCCCGAGGGCGGTGCGGTCCCCCCGGGTCCGGCGAGGAGCGCACGCCAGGGGCTGCTGTTAGCAGGGCGAAGCCGCCTCGGGCTTCTTGGGGAGGAAGGTTTGTGTGACCATTTTGCCCTCTGAGGCTGGTGCTTCCCGAGGGGGCTCCGTCGGAGGCAAAGAGCTTTGCTCGGTGGAGGGGCAGGGGCTGGAGCCGTGCCGGGGCAGCTCCGGGAGCTTCGGCGATCCCTTACGCAATGGGTTGGAGCCATGAGAGGGTGGCTGAGGGAGGGTGGCTGGGACGGTGGCTCTCCCTCGCTGTTTATTAGCTGGGATTTAATATATGGCTTTTCCTAAATATTGGTAGTTTTTAACATGCTTCACATTTGAAAGGCACGGATGGCAACCACCACGTTACTCTCTCTTGTTATCTCAGGCAGAGGGTACAGGAATACAGCATTTGGTTCGCTTCTTCAGTGGTTGCACTGTATTTACGAGCTCAACAAAAGCTCTGGGGTGGAAGAGCTTTCTTCAAATCGTACTTTTCCAGAAAGCAGCAATTGACATAACCTTTCCAAAGTGCTGATGAAAAGATAGTTAAAAAGATATGTAGTTGCCAATTCAAGTTACCCATGGGACCTTGTCTTCTCTAAGGTATTGGCTATTATTCTGTCATTGGCAGAACTATCTTCTTCACAACCTGATAAGCCTGTAAACCCCTTCTGATTTTCCAGGTAACCACTGAGGCAAGAAATCTTGAAAAGACTGACAAAAATCTCTGTACTAGTATAAAGAAAAATACTAAGTTTCATCAAGTGTTTGATTAGGCCACAGGAAAAAAGCTTTGTGTGTATCTGTTGTGACACCTTGATCTTGGCTGATACTGGGGTTGCTGATATTCTCGATTCACCATCCATCTTTTGATATGTGCTTCATGAAGTCTCACCTGGATGCCTTTTAACACCCCATGGCTTTGCAGTGTCCTCGTAGCAGATTTTAGCCAGCACTTTTGCTTTGTTGAGGCTTTTCAGATACTGTGGTGTTCTGGAATCATACTTCACCTCTGGCTTCAGTTTTTCATGCATATGTTATTGTCTACCGTATGCAGATGACAGGGGGTGTAACTCTCCCACTCTGATGCTACAGTTGCAGTGTTGGTTTTTGTTGCAGTGCCTGGCATAGGTTCAGGACTGAGTAACTCCCGACTTTCTAAAATGGAATTAAAGACTGAAATCACAGTTGACCGAGTTGTTGACTCAGACACATGCAACAGTTTTGCAAGTTCTCTGGCATGATACAGACACGTGCTTTTCTTGTTCTCATAAATACATCTGGTTTTGTTCCAGAGCTCAGGAGCTAAGTGTAGTGCAGCGCTTTTGATAATAATAAAAACTGGTAGCTTGAGGTGACAGAAGGGTTACGTCTTAGAAGCTTTGGACAAAAGATCATCTGTTTGGCAGAGAGTAATGCAGAGGCTGAGTGGGAGACCCCATCTGCTCAAAAATATGTGCTCAGTGTTAAGCTTCCACCCAAATCACAGCTTGACCAGGTACCAGAATGGGCTGTTGGCAGGACTAGAACCAAGTGTCCAGGTGCCTGCACCCTGGCTCTGCTGCCGAGCTGCCTTTCTACACACTAGATTCAGTTTAATGACAAAATTTCTCTGTGTATAACAATTCAGATACAGAATAGGAAGCACTCTAGACACCATGGTCTGTTCTTTGAAAGGTAGAAAATTATTATATTAAGACTTTGCTATTTGAATAATTGATCTTTTTTTGTTTGCTCATAGGCTTCAACTTTCTTAAAATACTGTGGAAAATGCTATTTATGGCAGCTGTTTTAGATGATCCCTGCATATCTTTCCTATTTTAATACTAATGCTGACTTCTGGTCACACTTTTGCATTGATTAAAAATAAATAGATCCTACTGTTTACCACTCCCTTACAGCATAGATCCTAAATTGCATGGCACAATGACAGTAGTCTCCAGAAGGTCTAGGAAAAAGCAAGCTGAAAAAGCATCATCCTTTTTTTTTTATTAATGTCAACAATTAGCCTTTGGTATTTGCATATTTTAAATATGAAATGCTAAGTAATAGTATTAACAAAAGCAGAAGCCTGTTACTACATATGCATTTGCCCTTTTTACTCTGACAATTTCTTGTGTCTTAAATCAGGATGTCTTTGGAGGTAAAACTTGTGTATCTGTACAACACTGTGCACGATGGAGTGCCGTTTCCTGGTCAGGGCCTTTTGATGTGAGTGTAGTCTTATCACAAGAGTCTGTACATCCTGACTGTACAAGGCTGCGGGGAGACCTGATTGCGGCCTTTCAGTACCTAAAGGGGGCCTATAGGAAAGATGGGGAAAATCTTTTTAGTAGGGCCAGCTGTGACAGGACAAGGGGCAATGGTTTTAAACTAAACCAGGGTAGGTTTAGACTAGATATAAGGAAGAAATTCCTTACAATGAGGGTGGTGAAACACTGGAACAGGTTGCCCAGAGAGGTAGTGGAGGCCCCATCCCTGGAAACATTCAAGGCCAGGTTGGACGGGGCTCTGAGCAACCTGATCTAGTTAGCGGTGTCCCTGCTCACTGCAGGGGGCTTGGACTAGATGACCTCTAGGGGTCCCTTCCAACCCAAAACATTCTATGATTCTATGATTATGTCCATTACAGAAAGAATGTCATGGAAGCTAGGTAGTTTCTATTTAATTTGTTAAATGGGAGCTCTGTGCTAACTTCTCTATCTGTGGTACAGAAAGCATTGCTGGTTATTGGTTATAGCCAAAGATGCGTTACTTCATAGCAACAAAATGTAATGTCATGCACATTTCTATTCTACAATGGCCTCTTTCAGACAGATGATCAGTGGAGTCAAGCTGGTTCACAGTAGCTGAGGATCTGATGCCCCCAAACCTGAGGGTGTAATGATCTCCAGTCGGTCGGTTTGCATATAAAACACAAAGCAGATTGTTTAAAGGTGTCTCTTTAACAAGACACTGAAGCGTTTCTCTTCACGTACAGGAGTAGAGAACATTAAAAATGATGGTTTACCATATACAGATCAACTCATGCATTTTCTAGTGCATGCATGTAAACCCCAGGCTTATAAATTGTCAGGCTTGTATAATAATAATGTGGTTACAGCCTTCTCAGTAAATGATCTTTACAATATAGTCTTGGGGAGTCTGCTCTGAAGTAGAGCCCTCAAGCATTTTGGTCAGTCCTTATTTCCAAGTGCACAGCTTCATTCAGAAATCATCTGTCTTGCCCTCAGCAGGGACTCATAATGTCCTGATTAAATAACTGCATGCCACACCAGGGAAATAGCCACAAAGAAACAAAGCAGTTCTTCACCATCCTTCTGAACATTGCATTTCTCAGATACATTTTTGCTGATCTTTTCCTTCCTCTTTCAGTTTGTATGAGGTCTGGAACTAAATGTAAAATTCATGGTGAATGCCTCAGCTTCGGTCAGTGTAAGGAAGCAGAAATGCCAGAAAACTGCAAAGGTTGTTTTGGTGCAACTTAGTGCGCCATGAAATTTGCCTATTGTTTTCATTTGAATGGTAATTCAGCATTGGAGGTAAACTGCCACACTCCTATATTGCAGAGGTCCACCTTTTCAACTGTTTTTGAATATGAAGTGGAGATTAGGGGAAATGGGCCCTATTACAAGCCAGCACTGAAGAGGAAGCTGGAGATTCCCAGCATGAGACTCAGTAGTAGCATGAAGCCTTTGTAGCCAGCTTTACCTGCTCTCCCTTCATGCTGTGAACGTTGTATCACAGGTTATGTCCAGGCAATGTACTGTGAGATGGCAGTGCACTCCAGAACAGCACCAGTGGGGTGACTTTATCTACTTCTGAGATTGCTCTGGTTTGTCCCAACAGCAGAAAGATAGTACTGTTTTCAGGTTCACTGAGATCTGTGCTGACGTGTATGAAAGCTTACTTCACCATATTCAGTTAGTTTATCTTGAAAACCTTTCTAAGCTTGTTAGCCAGAAAGAGACTCTTGTATGTATTTATATGCTCTGCTGCTGAGCACTGAGAGTGGTTAAAACACTGAAAATATGCACTATTTAGTGTTTTGCATTTGCATTTCCTGGCAGCATGGGAAGGCGGATGGTTTTTATCTATCTGGAACATTTTTGGTTCAAGACCAGTTTGCTTAAGAAGGCTGTTATGCACAGAGATGGTCTTTGAGCTTGCAGAAGCTTGAAAAACTAAGAAGAAAATGACCATGGATTGCAATAACGTAGATAGTGGTCCTGTAGCCAGGTCTTTTCTCTTTGGTGAACAAAGAATGAAGAAAGGGCATTTATACCCTGGTTATGGGCACTTGCTTTATCTAATCTACTGGGAACTGTTTGTGTCACCTTTAAGGCCTGATTTCATTACCAGAACAGAACGGCTGCATCTTAGAACAGGATCTAGCTCATTATGTTTTAATGTTGCTTAATACATTTTATAATAATTTGAAAAATTTCTGTTGCAATTAAAAAATCAATCAAGTAGCAACAGAGAAACACATTTGTCTTGAAGAGCAAAGCCTGCACAGCTAGTGTCCTGTGATGTCTATCTGTCATTCTGGTCACTGATGAGTAGTTAGGATGGGTTTGTGTTAATTGTATGCTTCAATATGTTAGTCAAAAAGTAGGTAAATGCCAATTTGTGCTTGAATTTTTGTGTCAGCTTTATAAAATTTGGAGATGTAATATCTCTCTTTATATCTAGTACAGACAGACTGGATAGTATGTTGGTTCCTGTGAGACATCAGTGCACTCCTGTGTATTCATGCTGGATTGGTCCCAAGTGACTGTAGAAGAGCAAACTTACTTAGACTCTAACAAACGTGGATGCAGCTCTGGTGCTTGGTGGGGGGTACAGCTGAATGTCCTCATTCTTCTTCCTCCTGTCTGGCTTCATGAAAGGTGGCTTGTGTTGTCTCACAAGACAGTGAAAGAAA